AAACAAGAAACAAACCCACCACAACACACAGCTTGTTAGAGGGGTTTTCCACTCTACTGGAAAACAAACCAAAAAAAAACGAATTAACAAAAGTGACCCCTGGGAGAGGAGAGCTGCACTTAAGATAAGGTTCCCAGGTGTCTGGAGGAGTGCAGGGAATGATGATGAAATAGCTGTATCATCATACACACACACATTTGTTAGAGCACACACCGACACAGCTGGGAGGCACTGACAGCTCTGCAGAGTAAGACTGATTTCCAAGCACTGAAAACCATCTCGGTGCAAGGCTTAGGAGTGAAAATTATCCAGCCAACCTGACAGAGTGGTCATAATTTCCACATCTAACATCTCGGTAATGCCCCAGCCACAAATTACGGTTCTGCCTCAGCAGAAAGCAGAGATCTCCCTGCTTTTTGTTGACATGGCAGACTTGATCAGTGGCTGCAGTGATTTGGAAAATAAGACAGGTAGGTTTTGCACAGCGAAGACAGGGGCATAGGGCAAAGAAGGGGAAGATCCTGGCCTGTTCCCCCAGTTTGTTGAAGTTTCCTGCAAGCTCTAAAAACACCATTTCTGGAGCTCTGCAAGGAAAACCCACAACTCCACGCGCTAAAGCAGAGCGAAATCTCCCAGCAGCGTAAATGAAAGCAAGTGAAATAAAAGCCAATCTAGTATCTCTTAAACTAAACTTGGAGTAGATGCCAGGTCATCCCTCAAATTGCATCAGAAGGTGGTAGCACAAAGACAGTAAAAAGCCTGCTCTCCATTGAATTCTGTCGATGAACCCCCACAAAACATGGCCCAAAACCACAGCACCTACAGTCAGATTTTTCTGGTGGGTAGCCCATAATGCAGGTATTTTACAGCATTAATTGATGAAAGCCACGCACCACTAAACACAATGGGAGTATGAAGGAAAAATTCAGATCCCAAATTCTACCGTGCAGGTAGGGTGGGTAAGACATACCTGACTGCTCCGTGCATGGGCTCTCACTCCTTTCCCCCTCTGTGCACTGGAGAACTGCAGTGGCACCAGGAGGGTGGCACCAAGAGAACTGCAGTGGCACCAAGTGGCCTTGGACACTTCCAGGGATCCAGGGGCAGCCACAGCTTCTCTGGGCAACCTGTGCCAGGGCCTCATCACCCTCACAGGGAAGGATTTCTTCCCAAAATCCCAGTTAAATCTTCTTCCTAATGTCTAACCTAGATCTACCACCTTCCAGAAAGTAGTCACATTCTTTCCCAGAAAAACCCTCCTTCCCAGCTCCACAACACTGTCACCAACAGCTTCACTCTTGACGGTGCCTCAAGCAGCAGCACCCAGTGAAAGTTCTCTTGCCACAGGACACTGGCTCTGAGATAATGACACAGGACAGCTGGTGCCACCAAGCACTGTCCCCCAGGACCTCACAGCACCAGTGACTTCCCGCTTCAGGTCATAAACAACCCCCTTTCCCCCTTCCTCCCTCCCAGCTCCAGCACTCGAGCTTTACAAGGTCACAAACCCAGCCTGGACCCAGGAGCAACACCCAAGACCAGTCTGAGGTACTGCTCAGACAGCCTTCAGCCAGCAGAGGTCCAAGAGACAAACCCCTACGAGTCACAGGTCCCTCCTTTTGAGCCCAAACCCCTTCCCACCAAGACACAGCTGTCACAGGAGGGAGCAGAAGCAGCTGGAATTACACCCAGCCCCATTTGGCTGTAGCACACCCACAAACTTCCCAGCCCAGGCTGTGAATCGATGACAATTTGTAGTATTTCATCTCTCTCCCCTCCTTGCTGGGCCTGCCACAGGAATTCTTTATCCCCAGACTTTGAGGCAAGCTGCTACATCATCTAATTTGCTGCCCCTGTGGGTGAGGCACAGTTGCATTTTGGGTTCTTAAGATTGCCACGCACACAATTTTCCCATTAATTTTGATCCAGCTTCCCAACAAACAGTGCAGAGAGTGTGGGCCAGTGGTCCTTCCCACTAACAGCAAGAGCAAGCAAAGCAGATGAATTCAGTTTGTAAGCAGCAGCACAGACTCATTAAGCTCAGGAGAAAGAGGTGGTAATGTAAATAAGAGAGTAACCTCATCACAGGAGGATGTTTAATGCTAAGAAGGAAACAAAAATAACCAGTGCTGTACCTAACAGGAATATCACGAGTTTCTGATGTCAGGTACTGCACTAAGAAAGATGCAAAGCTTGCCAGTAACTCCAGCAGCTCCCAGTACACCACACTCTATGGCTGGACATTACCCTGTGCTTCCACACTTCTCCCAGCTGGCCTACTGCCCTCCTGGGAAGGCTGGAGACGGAGCTGAGCACCCAAACACACTCCCACAGACAATCTGAGAGAAAAGCCCACCCAGTGGGGGGATCATTTACCACCCAGAAAAAAAATAAAAAATAAAAAGTCAACACTCCCTCCGCTCTCTCAGCTCTGATTGGATTAAAAAAAAAACAAACCTACTATGAAACACCTCCCAAAGGCAGATCTGGGAAATAAAATTCACCACTCCACCACAGAGCAAAGCTCCTGGAGTTGGCCACTGCCCCCTTTATCACCTCATTGTGTTCCATGGCCCATAAACTGCCTCTCTGTCTCCAAGGAAATCACTGCCTTAGCACATTGCTTCTCCACTCACCTCTCACCATCTCCTGTATCTTATGGTCACTCCTTCCTTCTAAAACACCCACACGTGTTAAATAGCTCACTAATCTCTCAGCAACTCTTCTCAACTCATTTGGCTTTGAAAGCTGATTTTTAGAGTTCTGATGAGAAGGGTTTGTACTCCCCAAAGCTTCCCAGCATTCCATAACCCTGCCCAGTGAAGGGTCTGTACAGACAGCCCTTGCCCTGGCATCCACACCCAGGGCCCCTCTCCTGTCCCACACCTCAGGGGGAATTCCTGCTATTGGAAAGCTGGGAATAAAACCCAAGGACTTCCAGGACTTGAAAACAGCCATGGCAGCCAAATGAACTGGGAAACAAGACTTTTAGCTGGGGGTGTTGTGGTAGAACGTCAGGGAATGGTTTAAATTAACAGGAGAGATTTAGATGAGATATATGGAAGAAATTCTTCCCTGGGAGGGTGGGGAGGCCCTGGCACAGGTTGACCAGAGAAGCTGTGGCTGCCCCTGGATCCCTGGAAGTGTCCAAGGCCAGGTTGGACGGGGCTTGGAGCAACCTGGGCTAGTGGAAGGTGTCCCTGCCCATGGCAGGGGATGGAATGAGGTGAACTTTAAGGTCCCTTCCAACCTAAACCATTCCATGATGTCCAGCAATCCGGTTGGAGAGAGAACCTCGATGCAAGCACGTCCCAGCTGTGGGATGCTTTGGAGCACACCAAAGGACCTGGAGGTGCTTCTCATGGGAAACCACTTCATCAGGAAGGTCCAGCTGAGAAGCTGCTTCTCTGAGCGCAGCCACGCTCCCGCAGAGCTGACCACGTCAGCATCCACTCCCGATTTTCGGGATCAGGTGGGGTCCTGAGAGCCTCCCCACCCTGTGCCTTCCCGCAGGGGCTGCGGTTTTCGGGGACACCTCGCGTTCTCCAGCATTTTCCTGACCCCTAGTGACAAGACGGGGCTTGTACAGCAGCCGCTTAACATGCAGCGCCCGGCTCTCCCCGCGTAAACGAGGAACAAACCTCGCTCCTTAACATGCGAGGAAGGTTTCCAGATCTGTCAGGATACTCTCCCCTCCGCAACCCCTGCAAATTTGCCGGAAAATCCAACCTGTTTAGCAAAGGCACTCGAATTTGGACTGAAAGTCAGGAAACAAGCTGAGTACGAGCAGCTTCCCTTACCCCGGGCTCCAGCTGTGCCCAGGGGAGCCGAGCTGCAGGACTAATCCATCAGCAGACGAGACAAAACAAGGGGTGGGGAGAAGGCAGTTCTGATGGATTACCTTCCCCCGGGGCAAATGCATCCTGGTGCAGGGAACTGAGTGACCTTGGCAAGACCACAAACTCCGTGATCTCACCCCTGCCTGCTACGGACCAGGGAGCAGCTCCTGGGAGCTGCAGAACAAGACATGGGACATCGGCTGCCAGGACCCAGGGCCCTCGTTTTTGTCACGCCACTAGGTTTCAAGGGCAGACACAGAGTCAAAACAGGATTATTCCGGCCCCACTTTGAGTTTTGACACGTAAATCATGCCGGGTTTCTCCCTGCATGGGGTGGGAATGGGCTGTGTGTCCCAGCCCCAGTCTGACACAGGAGGAGGGATCCACGGCAAAGTGCTCGCAGGCACTTTCGGACTCAGGTTTGAATCCTCCTCCTCTGGGAAGCCTCCCTTCAGTGCAACATTTCTCACTCCCTCATGCTGTGACGTTCCTTGCAAACAGTCACCTCCCACTTTGGGGTCCGTGTTTTCTGCCCGTCAGAAGTGGCTGAGCAGCTTCAGTGCCATTTTTGTTCATCTCAGCCTTCTCCAGGGGACCTGCCCTCTGCCTGGCACAAAGGACCTTCACCCCAAGCACTGTGTGAGCAGACCAAACACCCTCAGCTTCTGCCAGCCTCCAATTTATTTTGTTCACTGCCCTGAGTTTGATAAAACGCTGCTACAAGAGGAAGTCTCGCACAGGAATAATTAACGATTCATCTCTGTTAATTGGGCCCTTTTGTCAACTTAGGCTTGTCACAACTGCCCTAAATCCCCTCCAGTGATAAACAAACTCTTTAATTAAATCTTTTGTGCCACGAGAGCACTGCTTCAGACATCAGATGATGAGGGAGTTTGGCCCACCCTGCTTAAAACACCGTTTGGGGGCCGAGGTTCTCCAGGGAGTGGCGATCCTGTCCCAGACTGCTTCCTCTAATGCCATTAACACGGATGCAACTCTGAGAATGTACTCCCAGTGAATTCCTGAGGCACTGCAGCTGGTTAATTGTTTCCCTGCTGAATAAGCAGTTGTTCCCTCCTTGCCCACACACATGAGTTTCAGTCTCGTCACAGGAGCCACCTCAAAGCCATAAATACACAGACAGTTCAGCACCCACCTGGCAAAAACGTCTTCCCCCAATTTGTGGGTGACCAAGAGTCCTCCTGCCCTGGGTCTCCTCATTTAGGAAAAAGAAGTCAAGCATATCAAGCCTTCCTCCCTCCTGAACAGCGGGAAAAGGGAATGGCAGATGGTGCCAGAGCTGAGGAAGAGACAAGAGCATCAGTTAAAGGTGAGGCAAACGAACAGCACACCCTGGGTTTCCTAAAGGCCTTCTCTGTGGAGCAGGGACATCCTGGCACAGGGGCTGCTTCACACCCTTCTCAAACTGCAGCCAGAACTGAACTCAGGAAACCACGGGATTTAAAATGGTTTGGGTGGGAAGGGACATTATTAATAGTCCAGTTCCACCCCCCTGCCACAGGCAGGGACACGTTCCACTAGACCAGGTTGCTCCAATCCCCGTCCAACCTGGCCTTGGACACTTCCAGGGATCCAGGGGCAGCCACAGCTTCTCTGGGCAACCTGTGCCAGGGCCTCCCCACCCTCCCAGGGAAGAATTTCTTCCCAATATTCTATTTAACCCTGCCTGTGTCTGTTTGAATTCATTCTCCCTCATCCTGTTACTCCAGACCCTTATCCAAAGTCCCTCTCCAGCTCCCTTGGGCACTGGAAGGGGCTCCCAGGTCTCCCTGTTCTTGTTTGCTCCTCTCCTGCAAAGACAGGCTGAGAGAGCTGGGATTGTTCAGCCTGGAGAAGGTTCCAGGGAGACCTGAGAGCCTCTCCCAGTTCCTAAAGGGGCTCGGAGAGAGCTGGATCCCAAGGGTTACCTGGAAAAGCAGACCTGCAGGAAGATGACTGAGCACATTCTTCACACCCCTAAGTGAGGAGCCAGCACAGACTATGGGGAAGGAAAATAAAGAGGGAAAAGAAAGAAACTCAAGCAACAACAAAAAAACAACACATCCAAACAACACTCATTGCTCTATTGGACCATCAAAATGTTTCAGGGAGGGTGAAATGAGAAGGGAGGGGTATTCAAAAGGCAAATTGAGATGGGAGACAGAACAGGGCTCTCAACCAAAGCAGCTTTCAGGGTCAGACGTATCTTGTTAAAAACTTACTGACAAAATAAAAATAATAGTAGGTGAGTGATACTGAAGTGCACTTCAAATATGCAGAATCCCCTGTGGGTATGTGACAGCAACGTGGGTTTAGCTGCCACTGACCTCATCAAAGGAGCACAGCTCTAAACTAGACAAAGAGAGAAGGAAAAAGAGTACAAATCTGCTCCCAGTAAACAGGCACAGGGTGCAAACTGATCTGAGCAAACAGCTTGCCCAACATCCCCCAATTAATAATTAAAAGCAGATCTAGAGGGTCCCATTTCCAAAAGAGAAATTAAAGCAGCGCAGAGGGAGAGTTTCGTGCACTCGGAGGTTCAGGAGTTGAAGTTGGCCAAAGGATTGCCCTGCACACAGCCCCACGTCCCAGAGAGAGGAAAACCACAACTGCCCTGTTAACATTCTTTTGGACAAGCTCATCCCTCCCGGGAAAGGCCGGCAGTTAAAGATAGATTTGTCACCCAGCAGAGAAAAGGCCATTCCAAAGGAGCTGAGCCATCGGCAGATGCAGGATAAGTGACCCCTTTTCTCCTAGTGCTCTCCACCTCCAAGGGACTGAGGTGATGGCAGGGGCTCTGGACTGGCAGCACAGAGAAACAGGATCAGCTCCAGACAGGCTGGAGCAAAAATCCAACAGAGGGACAGAAGGGTAGCACAAGAAATAGGGGATTTGTTTCCTTCACCTCTCCAAATCAATAGGGAGGCCAACAAAGGCACTGTCACCCAGCCCAGGAGCACGTGGGGCCCCGACAGGGCCACCACCTGCCCATATTTACAGGGGCTGTGCTGATGAAACTGCCTGTCCTGCAATTGGAGCTTACACCAAGGAAATATTCTGCTGGCCTTTCCCTACCTGGCAAACAATCCCACCTCCTGATTTCATTGCTGGAATCCATTCAGCACACCTCCTCCTTTCATCTGTATCAGAGCTTCCAGCTTCACATCCACACACAAGTTATTTTCTTCTCAGGTGCTGCGTTGCTCTCCAAGTCTTTTCTCCCTGGACAAAAAAGATGCACGTTTTTCCTTTCAATTACCCCAGCAAGGAAACACATAGAGGGGAGGGGGGAAAAAAAAAAAAAAAAAAAAAAAAGGACAAGACAAAGGAAGAATTTGCTTCCCTCTAACTTGCCTGCTGGAGAAATAAATCATCTCTGTGGTACCCACAAACTCCTACAGTGGAAAACAAAATGTGCACGAGGGTATATATAAGGGATGTACCTCACACCATATTTAAAAAAAAAAAATAAAATAAAAATCCAGAATTAGTTGTTTCAAGAGTAAAGGAACCACGAGGGTACAGCAGGAGGCTGAATTCCTGTCTGCCACATAAAGCAGCACAGTAAAAAGTTGTTGTCAGCACTGGCAAACTGCCCATCACATGGGTGGGCTTAGCAGACGACGAGCTGCGGGACACGGGCACAAAGCCGGGGGCCTGGAGAGCAAAAACGCCAGGGATCAGCACACGGCATCCTGGAGCCCTCATTCCCCCAGCAACGGGAGAAAACACCTCGGAAATGCTCAGGGGGGCTGTGCTGCACACACATCCCCCCTTTCCATGGCTCTTAGTCCACGTGCTGCGATATAATCCAGGCTGTCCCAGGCAACGCACCTGGTGATTGGCGCTGCCCGGAGCTCAGAGGGACGGGAAGCACATGGATTCACTCCGCTCAGCCAGGGATCACCGTGGCGCTCGGCACACGTGTTGCCGGCAGCACCGGGCGGTGCCTCCTTCAGCTGCCCCTCTCCAGCCCGTCCCACCTTTCTTCCTTGTGCAGCAGGTTAATAAAGTGACCCCGCGCAGGAGAGGGGCGGGTGGGTTCGGTGCGCGGGTCACACAGCATCGATTCGGGCAGGGGTTTCGAGAGCCCCTGTCCGGGCGTTCCCCGAGCCCCAGAGCCCCGTGGGGGCCCCCAGGCGTGTGCCCAGCGCTGGGAAGGCTGTGCTGGCCGGGGGAGGACCCGGTTCCCTCGCCACGCCTCCCGCCACCTCGGACACAACGCGGCTCCCGCGGGCTCCGCACGCCGAGCATCACCCGAGCCGCGCCGGGCACGGACACGCGAGGGCCATGGTAAGTCCCTGCGGGGAACAGCCGGCTGATTCTTTAGCCTTTTCCAAGGCAGGAAGGTTTCGGCGGCAGCTCCAGACCCCGAGGAGAGGCAGGAGGGAAGGGAGAAAGGAGCAGAGCGCTGTGGTTAATCAGTAACGCGGGAGCTCCGCGGCCGCTGCTGGATTACCAAACGCAGCTCCCTGCGGGCTCCCTGCGAGGGGGAGGGAAAGGGGCCGTCAGCAATGACCTCCCCCCCTCCAATTCTGTAGGGCAAGGACGACCCCCGTGCGTGCTCCGTCTGCGCACCCCGGATCAGCTGGAAATCGGCTTTTCCACGGCAGCAAAAGACCGTGGGCCTTGTGACATCGTTCCAGGGCTGTGCCCTTTACCTTCTCGCAGGTGACAAGTCACCACTAGTATTGGGAAGGAGTCCTTTCCCTGTGACGGTGGGGAGGCCCTGGCACAGGTTGCCCAGAGAAGCTGTGGCTGCCCCTGGATCTCTGGGAGTGTCCAAGGCCAGGCTGGACTGGGATTGGAGCAACCTGGGATAGTGGAAAGTGTCCCTGCCCATGGCAAGGGGTGAGACTGGGTTACCTTTAAGGTCCTTTCCAACCCAAACCACACTGTGACTCTCTAACTAAAAAATCTTATAGTTGGGGCAAAGAGGGTTGTTTCATCTCCTGACAGCTCAAAGCTCTCCCAATTTCCCATGCTGGTTCCTTCCCCTCAGTTGCACAATGCATCTGCTTGGTTTCCTGCTGGCAAAAAAATAAAAATCCCAACTCCTTGGCAGTTGGGAGCCAGCAGAAGAAAACAAAATAATTTCGTTTCCCTAACGAGAAGAATGTGTTTTAAAGGGAGTAAGTGGACATGAAAGCATTAAAGTGCCATACTGACAAAACCAGCTGGCTGGGCAATGCGCTGGGGTGGAGAAGGAGGGATTGGAGGAGGTTGGAGGGCACAGGGGGGCAGCTCCAGGCAGAGGGTTTGCCATCACAAGACACGGTGGTCTGTGGACCAAACCTCAGCCTGGCCATGCCTCCCACTGGTGCCGGGCTCTGGCAGAGGAGCTGGAAAAAGCCTGGAAAGAGCCCCAGGGCCCATCCTCTCACATAGTCACAGCAAAGAAAAGGGGTCAAGAGAACAATTAAACCACGTCCCTCCCAAGCTGCCTGGTTTCTTGCTCTGCCCAGGGGAGGCTGGTTTGGAGCCCAGCCCCCCAGCATCCCCATCCCTCTGCTGCCAGCAACAACTCCAGCTTTACTCAGCCTTCAGCACCCGATACACCAACAGGTTTCAGCACCGATCCCAAATCCAGGTGCAGCCCATCAGAGTCCCCAGGGCAGCTCCCGTGGGTGCCCCCCTGCCAGCACCCTGTGCAGAGCCATCCTCTGCCCCCACCTTATCCAGTTGCTAAGATACCTGCGCCCGGCTTATCACGCCATCGGCATGGAAGGGCAACGGCTCCGGGTTTATTGTGCTAAGTCATGTTTACTCACCGCCTTCCCCCCAAGCCCGGAGCTCGGAGAAGGACAGGGTTGACGTTTGGGGGATGGGGAGGGAGGTGGCAGAGCCGGGGCTGGGCAAGGGGCCGTCCAAAACATGTACAAAGCATGGAAGGTTTTCCCCAAAAATCGTGCAGCTGCGATGCCAGGGGGACAGGAAGCATCCCACACCCAGCCACCCCATGCTGAGGTTCGGGGCACACCTTGGCCCTCTCCATCCCGTGCAGTTGGCAGCTTTCTCCAAGCATAAGGGTCACGGCTCCACAGACAGGGAGGCACCCACACCGCCGTGGGATTAGGGCATCATCTTTCCAATCTTCCCCAAAACATGCAAGAACCACCCCCCAGACGCATCAGCTTCATGGCTGCCTCTGGTTCTGTACGCCCTGGGAGCAGGTAAGCCACAGGAGAGGATGATTTGCCGCAGTTGTTTAAGGTGGTAATTCTCAGCAGGGATGCCCAAGCAAAGTGTCTCAAGGCCCTGCTGCCCAAACACCCCCCAAAAAAGTGGTCTGGATTTGTTGGGACTCACATCTGACTTACCACACCTTGCTCTGCAGCACAGAAAGGAGTGGAAATTGCAAAGAGATATTGATCTTTGTCATCACCAACTGCAAGGATCAGGTCACCCGAGGCTGCCAGAGCTCAAGGAGCGGTTGGACAACGTCCTCAGGCACATGGTGGGATTCTTGGGGTGTCCTGTGCAGGGCCAGGAGCTGGACTCGATGATCCTTGTTGGTCCCCTCCAGCTCAGAATATTCTGTGAAAGAATTTTCATGGCTAGAACATGACCTTTCAGAGACAGCAATACCCCTCTGCACTCACTCCTGCCTTCCCCAGAGCCACAACAGGCACTGGCTCAGGTGGTCCCCATCCCCAAGAGCTTCATTTTAGTTTTATCTTTGCCTGTAATCATTCCCCAAAGCCAGGAATTGCTGCTTCCCCACCACCACCCCTTACAAAGCAAGTAACAGCAGCTCTGCCCAAGACAAGGCTCACTCACAATCCTTCCCCTCGGGCCTTTGTTCATCACAGGCAGAAACAGCCTCTTAAACTCCATCGTAATAGGAGGGAGATGGAAAAGGAAAAGGAGCTGAACTGCAGTTTAGTGTGACTCATCTCTGATTCACACCACTTCTTTCCTCTAAAACAGGCTCCCAGTAAACAAATATAAAAAAATATATTTAAAAAATAAATGTATAAAACAGGGAAACCTAAAGCAATTATCTGATCTGGAGGCCATCACAGAGTTTCAGGTTTTGGTTTTCCTCCCCCCCCCAAGAAAGTTATCTGTGTTTTGGAGCTTAACCTCCCACAGGCATCATTGCTTAGTACCTCAGGTTGTAACACGGACATGCAGACACTGTGGGAGGTGCTGCAGGTGAGAGGACAGAAGGGACCAGCTGGACCTTGGATACATGCAGGATGTATCCCGGGCAGGGAGCAGAGGGCAGCGTTGATATTCCAACCCCTCCCACCCACCCTGCAGCTGCCTCTGTGTTCCCGTAACTCCAGGATCCACGGGATGCCTCTGATCCCGCTCCAAACAGCTGCTCCATCCTACCTGTGCCACGCTGATCCACTTTTCCCTTCCCTTCTCTTGGTGGCAGGCAGGAAAAGCCCACAGGCTGAGCACGGAAGAGAGGGAGCAGCTGCTGCCCAACCTGAGAGCCGTGGGGTGGAACGAGGTGGAAGGCAGAGATGCCATCTTCAAGGAGTTCCACTTCAAGGACTTCAACCGGGTAGGAGCACCGGTGGCACGGGTTTTACAGACTGGGAGACCTGGTTTGCAGAGAGGGGAGTCCCCTCTGCAAGGCTCAGCCACAGCAACCCCTCCGTGTGTCTCCTGAAATGGGATGGCTGAGCGAGGGAACCTCCTCCAGACACTACAGCGGTCAACTTGGCCCATGGTTTGTCTGGGGGAAAAACTCCTCAAAAAAAAAAAAAAAGAAGGGAAACCCACAGGAAACCCCAGCAAAGACACAGAACATCCCAGGCCCTGCATTTGGTTGGATTATCTAAAAACAGGTGGTGTAAAATTAACAGCAGTGGGGTGAAAAGCAATATACTGCAGGGTGAGTGGCTCAGAGTTAACTTCCCTTCTCACTCCACAGGCCTTTGGCTTCATGACCAGAGTGGCTCTACAGGCAGAAAAACTGGATCACCACCCTGAATGGTTCAACGTGTACAACAAGGTAAAAAACAGGGCTGGTGGGGGCAAAACAGAGCTCTTCAGTGAGCAGATCCCTTTTTTTGAGGGATAAAACAGGAGCAGCAAGTCCTGTTCCCAGCAGCAGGACCTCTTCCCTCAGTGCTAATTCCCCATATCCCAGGCAGCCTCCAGCTTTCACTGGAGATCCTTTCCCTCCTCCTTTTTCCATGTCCAGCTGAGCAGGAGCTGCCCTGGCCAGCCCCAAGGGGTGGCTTTTTTAAGTCATATCAGAAGTAGCAGGAGTAGCAGGGGAGAAGTTTCTGGGGAAGGAGGGAGTTAAGAAATGGGCACAGTGGCTGCTGTGACCAAGGCAGGGGTGGCAGCCACAGCCTGTGGCCAGGGTGAGCTGCAGGAAGGAGAAAACCAGCGAAGTGCCAGGTCACCTCTCCCACCCCGGGGAAATGTTGCTATCAAGTCTGGAGCCACCTGTGCCTCACCTACAGCACTGGGGGAAGCCATCCCTGCTCTGTCTGTCTGTCTGCTTCAGGTTCACATCACCTTGAGCACCCACGAGTGTGGAGGGCTGTCGGAGCGGGACATCAACCTGGCCAGCTTCATCGAGCAGGTCGCAGCTTCCCTCTCCTGACCGGAGGGACACGAAGCCAAAAAGCCACTGTGCCACTGCCACAACCCGTGTCTTGCCTCTAGACAGCTGCCCCCAGAGCCTTGTCCCACTTCCAGGCTACATCCCAGGATCCAGACTGCCTGACCCCCCTGCCACAGCTCACTTGGATGGAGGCCCCGCTCAGGGTGCACATACCCAGCTCTGAGCTTGCAAATTCCATCCTCAAAACCTTCCTTAGCCACGTGCTCCCAGCCCACCGAGTGCCGAGCCTTTCACCAGGAGTCAGTCATGTCACAGAAACACAGACTGGTTTGGGTTGGAAGGGACCTTAAAGATCATCTCATTCCAACCCCCTTCCATGGGCAGGGACACCTTCCCACTAGTCCAGGTTGCTCCAAGCCCCGTCCAACCTGGCCTTGGACACTTCCAGGGATCCAGGGGCAGCCACAGCTTCTCTGGGCAACCTGTGCCAGGGCCTCCCCACCCTCACAGCCAAGAATTTGTTCCTAATATCCAATCTAAACCTACTCTGTCAGTGTGAAGCCATTCCCCCTTGTCTCTGTCACTA